TCGGCGATTTCCACGCCACTGCGCCCGTTCCCGTTTGATTGCCTCGCATTCTAATTAATGAAATGATAATTGCGAGAGGCTGCAATAAAATTACGAGAGAGAACACGAGAAATCGACTGCTTCCCCGAAGCAATCGGCGATATGGCACATTTTTTGTGCGTATAGCCGTTTTTGCGTTCGATGGCGGCTCGGCGATACCGGGGCGGAAAGCCGACGAGTTTTATGTAACCGCCTGCGAGGTGTGAGAAATATCGATGGGGAAGAGGAACCGACCGCGTGGTTCTGAGAATGCCTACTTGTATGATGTGGTCCAAAAAAAGACATTTATACGTAACAACGATGTCAGTCGGAAGTTATACATGTATAATTGTGGTACCTAGTTATAGGTACAATTTATTAACGAAAATAACAATATCAGTGACAATATATGTAAAATCAATAATCATACTGAGTCAATTTTTGATATACCTAATCGATGTAACTGTGTAATTTATTTGTTCGAAAATAATACATACTTACCTACTTAGTAATCAGTAAACATTTCGGTGGTTAGTAAAAATAATTCTCCCAAATTCATTAAGTGATGTGTGAAAGATGGAAACGGTGTTAGTAACAATGTTAATGTAATAATGTAATGTAATTGAGGTAACTATACAATTTATTTGTGCATAACAGTCTATTAATTATTAAAAAATGCGGTAGGTAGGTAGGTGCCTACCTACTTAGAATAATTACAAGTTGTTGATACGTGAAAGATGAGAGAAACAATATTAGGTACCTACTAACAATACAAACTATACTACTTATCGTAGGTAGTGGTTCAAAAACTAATATAATTGAGGCAACTATAGGTCATTCGTTTTTTCCGTTAAAAGTTTCTAATAAAGACAGATTTTCCAGAATTCATTAGGTGACGATTGAAAGGCGAAAGTATTCGCAACAGTACCTAGTTACTAAACTAATTACTAATATAATTATGTAAGGTACCTACCTTACATAATTATATTAGTTTATTACATTTCTTCTAGGCGTTACCTAATTTCATTTTTCAAATTGAACACCCTGTTCCCATAATATTGGATTTTTATATTTCTCATTGACTTTAAGGCCTACTTTGGTGGCTAGTTGGATCCAACTGGCTAGCTAGAATTCCCGATCTAAGAAAATCTGACTTATTTTAATTTATTCCTCGCCTCTCATGCTGCAAGATATGCAAAATCGAAAAAGACATATTTCAGTCATTATCTAGGTACACCCATAATTGTTGATAGTGCTGGTGAGAATTTTTAATTATGCGACAAAACGGTAATTATTTTGAATAATTAATTACACAGCCACACAAAAAAAAAGTTGTCAGAATTGAGCTATCACATCACAGGAATTTCCTAACCTCAAAAAACTGGTCAAAAATAGCTAAAATTCACGAATAAGTGCTAGGAAAAATACAATTTTTTTTTCTATATTCAAATGTCCATTTATATGGTTAAGACACCGCCGAACGTGAATCCGTGGTCAGAATTGATGGTTCAGGTAAGGTTCAGTTTCGGATATATTTTTAATGTTGCAATGTTGCAATCGCCATTTTTTTAGACGTCCAATAACACCGAAAAGGTAGATACGTTTTAGATCCAATAACTTTCAACAAAGTAGGTCTTAAATTCAATAAGAAAATAAAAAAGCAGTTAAATAACGCCCAGAAGAAATAGGACCCCCTGTATAATAATTTTAAGATGTGAATTTGGTGCTACTTTTACTTGGAACAATTTTTTGCATTATTGCAATTACAAGAAGAAATACCTAAGACATCTTATACAGTGTGTATCAGCCAAATGGAATAGTCAATAAAAAATAAATGGGGGCTTGTCGAAAAAACGCTCGAACACGTCAATTGGTATTTTTAGTTGCGCATTTTGTTTCAACAATAACTTTTTATACAAGGTGTGTCATGTAACAGTGGTCAATACCAACTTTCTTATTTTAAATGGAACACCCTGTATATTATTCAGTTTTTGGATTCTTCAGAAAATTCTAGACATATTTCATGTAAAATGTCCTATATCTATCTTCAACTGTTTCGGAAATATTGCGTGTGTTTTCAGATTTATTGCAAAAATTAACATTAAAAAAAGAAAATTATTTAATTACAGAAATTCGACGTGTCCGAGCGTTTTTTCGAACACGCCCCCATTTATTTATTATTGAATTTACTTATTCCATTTGGCAGATGCACACTGTATACCTATGTATATTTATGAAAAAACAGAAAATAACATCCCTGTGAAATATCGAATTCAACTAAGTAGGTAGGTACCTATCTATATACCTACTGTAAAGTGCAAAATTTTCTTTTTCATTGTTTATTCAAACATATTTTTTTAAAAACTTTACAGTCGTAAAATGTCTGTAAGTGTGGAGGTAAAGTCTTTCCGATATCAATTGAAGAACCAAGAGGATGACAGTATGTATCAGGTTCGGTCGCTGACGCAGCAACTCGGCATTGAAATATTTGAAAAACTTGTTCCCATATTTATTTAGCCATACCCATATACCTATAGGTCTGGTCGAACTAAACGTGGAAGTGGTAGAAATGTATACGCCCAGTTGAAGAATGCGAGCGCGGCCAAACGAAATAGTTACAAACATAGCTGCATTGGGCCATTGGGCAATAAATGACAAGTGGTTGACAAATTGCCTAGTAATGCAGTGCAGCAATGCGGAATTTGGTGTGATCCAGTTAATATTAATTTATTATAGGCACCTTCTATTAATCATTGATATTACAATTGCGAAAGGGAGAAATAATATTATTATATTTTGGAGACCTTTTGAAACGGAACAAAACGAAATTTATGCATCAATATAATAAAATTGTTTGAGGACATAAATAATAATTAAAATATGTTGGGGACCAAGAAAAGGATCAGTTTCAATAGAGATAAAGATGTAGAGGTACCCAATATACCTACCTAGTGACATTTTAATATTGTTTTTTATAATCCGCTTGAATCGCCTTTTGTTTCTGGTGCTAAATTGCCATAAAATTGCATTATTAACTTTATAATCTTAAATTTAAAAAATGTACTGTCACTTATGTGGTTATAATTAAAAAAAGTCAGTATCCCATTATTTTTCCAATTTTTATTCTAATTAGTTACATTATTATTTAATGATTACGCATTACCATAATGATAAAGAAATATTAAAATTGCTGTATAAGGTTAATAACACTAACATCACAAACTTTACTGAAATTAAAAATTGGGAAAAACAATAAGTTTTCGCTAAAAACTTAATTTATATTTTTACTGTAAATAAATAATTTTTATCCATGAATAGCTGAACGCATGGGCATCTTTTTATGACTTTCACATTGTTCAAACAGATTTATTTTTATTCTTATAAGACCATCTACTTACAAAAACCTAATTGGGGTTAGTCATGTTTCTTTCTGTTCTAAATATTAAACTATCAGATTGCATGTAACTAAATAATTAGGACTGCTTCCTAAAAAAATATTAAAGCTTGTCCTGGAATTCCGTCGGTCTCGATGAAAGAGTTGAAAATTCGCAGCAATCACGTACAAGTAACAGAAACATGATCAGCAATTTTTTTTATTAGTGTATATATCAGTCCCGTCATCGAAATTTACAATTTTAATTGCTTCATCCCAACCCGAAAGGAAAAATACCAGTTTGGACAGCTTAATTGGCATAAACAAGACTATAACATTAAATGTATAGGTGGGCATGTAGCAGTTCGCGGTTTGTTAATTTCTAAAGCCAATTAGCGACTACATCTTAATTGAATATTAAAATTATTCCTACCTAGTTGTAGCGCGTTTGTTTGTAGATCATTCAAGGAATATTCACAGGTACGTACCTACTTTACTTTATGTAAGTATATATTCATTCAGCTTTGTTGTACCGAAATCAAAAAAATTTTTTCAATAATTTCCATCCATTATTTAGATAAATGCAACGTTATTTATAAACCCATCATTGTAAATACAGGTATATACACCTAGGTAGGTATCTACTTTGTGAAATGTTCAGGTTAGAATTTTGAAAATTTTTTTTCTCGAAATCTAGGCTCGACCGCATAAAAAACTTCAGATCGAAAATAGAGGGATAGGAACATTTTTATGACTAAAATTTGGGCGGGTTACGGAAAAGTAAATAATTCCCGTACATAGAATTAATTGTTTCATCAATGAAAATTCTATTAATTGATGGGTAGGTAGGTACATAAATCTAATATACCTAGGTACCTATAATTGATAGATCAAAATGCAAATGCAAAATGCAAATATTTTAGTTCATTTGATGTGGTTGTTTTTTAATTTTGTATTGAAATAGGAGCAACATCTATTATATCTATTGGTCCGACTATAAATTTGAACCCTCAATAAAAAATAAGGGATTTAGGGGAAGATTGATTCAGACGGTGCCCGTCGGACTTACATAAGTTTTCAGGAGTGGGAGGAATACCTGTGGGTGTATTAAATGGCATATGTAAAAACAAAAAATAAATATTGAGAATACTCAATTTCCCTCAAACCGAACAAGACATCATCCCAAAAAAATACTCTACCAAGCGATATACCTACAACAAATACACTTGGTGTTGGTGTTACTTCTGGATGTAATAATAATACCCCTGCTCCAACAACTCCCACCCTGCATCCCGCGTACACCATAAAACATGTCAAAGTCGAGCACGACATTGGTTTCGATGCCTGCGATTCGCCCGCAGGGCGATCCCTCCCTCTCAGTTACGCCCACTGCTGTAAAACTCCGCCCTACCGTGCCTTCTGATCATCAGACAGTCGTGGCGTCTCGCGCTGTGTAGATCGATCAAATGTTGTCATGCTATGGTGGAAAATAGTGGTTTTGTAACTAGAAAAACTCCACCAAGTCGTTCGCTCCAGTGAGTGGTGTTATTAGAGAATTGTGACTGTGATTTTGGTGCCGCGCAAACTGGGCATGGTTTAGGGGGTGGTTATGGCGGCTTTGGCTGGTAATATGGTACCACAGCCGCACCATTTCTTGCGGCAAAACGTGGAGAGTGCCGAGGGGTCGGTCTCCATGGATTCCAGCGACAATTTCGACAGAGAATCTCCCAATATGGACAATAACAGTTGTTGCAGTGATGACACAGTGCTGTCCGTCGGCAACGAGAATCCGGTACAAGACAGCAATGAGACCTTATCGTTCAAGAACATAGAGAGCCACCTGAACGCTATTTCTCAAATCACCAACAGCACCCTGAACCCGGAATTAAGCCTCCGGAGCCCTTCTAGTCCAGCAAACTACAGACTAAGCCCTTCCAGTACCAAATCTCAGCCCAGCTTCTGCTTCAGACCCGCAGACTTTGACAAGTCGAACTCTACGGACTTATTCCGTCAGAACTTGTGCTCCCCCAGGTCTATATCCTCCCCGGAATCGCCGGAAAGCGTGAACCGTAGCCCTAGGCATCAGGACAATTTTTGTTTCAACCAAAAGGACATCTCCAATAATGATGCCAACGGTGCTAGCTTGAAATTCTCGATAGACAATATTCTCAAAGCGGATTTCGGGCGGAGGATCACAGACCCTATCAACATAAGGAAGTCAAAGCCAAGGAGGGTGGTTCCGGAGAGTACGGAGGATGGAAACAAGCTCTCAGGGCCGGTGGACCTCAGCAAAGGTGAAGAAAAGGCGGAGAAGAAGGAGGAAGCACAGCCGATGTTGTGGCCAGCGTGGGTGTACTGTACCAGGTACAGCGACCGACCCAGTTCAGGTAGGGCTTGATATTTTTTTTAGTTTATTTTGAGGCTGACTTTAGCCTACTCTATTCCAGTCCAATAGATAAAATTATTAGATGTCGGAAGCATGGATATAAATATTAAATCATTGAATTCTGTGTAGGCGTCTTTATTACCATTATTAAATAATTCCATATAGGTATCTATAAAGATAATTTCTATAATTTACTTGTAGTCTCCTGTGGATTAAGCTGATTATGAAATACACTTTTGTTTAATTTAATTAATCGCAGTAATCGAAAATGTTAACTTCGATCACAATACCTAAATATCGTACAAAGATCGTTTTCTCGGTGTTGGAATTACGTTATATATATTTTTTTCAAAACGATTAATTAATTGATAGAATTATGTGAAGAAAGAAGTAGGTACCTACATAAATAAACAATTTAAAAGAATTTCTTAAATGCTAATCAGAAATTAAGTACCAGTATTAGACTGAATGGCTAAACTACCAAGAATACAATAGACAATTTTAAAGATCTCCATCATTAATGTAATTTATGCTTCTCTCCTTTCATGAGAGAGTAAGTAATAATTTTACATCAAATTATAGTTTCTTAAGCAAGATTGAGTAATATTAGCTTGAAAATGTACCTATGCAAATGTTAAAATATTTATGTGTTTTTAGAGGCATACCTGTTCAAATTTCGTAATTGTACACTGAGAGAAAAGGCGGCCAAGGTAAATTGTATTTTCTAAAAATTTAAACCGCCGCTATTTATTATTTTGTACTAGAATGAAGTAAAGGATATTACTGGTTATTCACAGTTTTATTTCGCTTAAATTCAGTTGATTGTTTGATTTAAACATTGGTCATGTGAATTTAATTATTACACATGTTCAGCTAGGGCGAAAAAATAAGCCAGGGGCAAAGGATTAATTGTTAAAATGTTATTAATGGAACATCGTTGATATTAAATGAGAAATTATTCCTACAGTTGTAGAACAGACCGATTATACAATACACTCACATGAATATATCTAACGGCATGCTACAAAGATATTCTGTCTTTATCTCATAATAATTTATCACCCAAAACATGCATGTTAGAAAATAATATTTAACAAATTATTTTTATGGGCTATTTGAGATGATGAGTTTTATAAAATATTTTATGGATATCCCACGCTACCAGCCTACTTTGTTATTCCAATGCAGAACTAGACAATTTAATTCTACATTATTACCACGGCTATAAAAACGATTCCTGTTTTACAGTCTGTTCTCAATAAAATTGTAATTAAAATGATAACTCATTTAATTACTTCTGAGTTTGAGTTATGTAAATTATATATTTTAGGTGAAAGTTTTTCGTCAAATGGATTATTGGGTTTTTTAGATATTATGCGTAATAGGAAATTAATAAACATTTTAAATCGTTTTAGATTATAGGTATCCGGGTTTAAAAAATCTGAAAGTGTAGCAACAAAAAATGCAAAAATATGTGGAATATTTTTAGATCTTTTAATTTACAATCCTGTCTTTTTTAATCGCAATCGGGTAAAAACGAAAAAACTAAAACTTATGTGTTGAAAGTATTAGCTGTAGAATAATTATTTAACAATTATTATCTATCGCTTTTTTTTAAAAATTTCAGTAAACTAAGTTGACCGCAAGTTCTAAGTTTCATCAGAATCGTTTTAAGATATTTGTGAAACTGTTATAGGTATGTATGAACACATTTACATTAATATCCTTTTTCTGCATACCTACCTATTAAGTTCGTTATTTTTTTGTTGTTGTGAGAACCTAGAACCTATACCTACCCAATGTTTGGTTGTAAATTCGAAACTGTGGTAACATTTCTATAGACATAAAATATCCATAGTCCCTATCTACGAAAGTAAACACTTAATTACAGGTCATCGTACTGACTCCATAATTTCAACTAATCCTTTTATTAATTCGTTCTCTCGCTGCATGCCTCTGCAGTGTCAATAACAGTCATTTCCTTTCGGTCGGCCCGATAACATCTGATTATATCGAAGCGTTTGATTGATTGCCTGACCTTGGAATTGACCTATTGAAAACGATCCGAGGATTTACCGATACAATCTGCGATCTAGAATGCGGAATTGCCAACAAACGTCCGCAATTGTTTATGATGTAACAAATAAATGAAAAAAAGCGTATTTGGAATAACTAAGCAGTTTTTTTGTATGCGACAAATGTTTTGTGCATTATCGATGATAGGAACACATTGCATTTATTTTTGGTATGTTCAATTGCTGTCATTCCTGAAAAAATACCTACTAAATGAACAGAAGTTTTACGCTATACATTTTTTATCCTACCTAGTTATCATACACAAAAAATATTTTTAAATCATTACCTATCTAATTTTTTAGTATACCTATAACGATGATGATAATTCCAAGGTACGCTAATAAGCCTGTAAAACATGTAAATGTAGAAAAATTATATAGAGATTATGTTGGCGCGTTATTAAATTTTATTATAACTATCAGCTGAGTGTTAATATGTGCTATTAAATTATTACGTTAGTATTAACTGTTGGATATCGATTACTATCTTGAAAATCATATTTCCTTACTAATTATATCCAGTCGGATGCTCCATAATTTTTCTTTCACAACTTAGTAAAAGTTGAACGGTAATATAAAAGTTTGAATATCTTCCACAGATTTTGAAACTAATAATAGCCAAGTGTTATCAAAAAGCTGTTATCGTAATTGCAGCGTTTTTCTTTGCAATTTCATTCCGCAGATCGTTGGTTAGGCTAGAATGCTAGATGATGTTGGCTTTTACGCCCTCTATATATCAGTCATATAAACCTTAAATCGAGCCTTAAACATATTAATAATACCTACTCCACTTGATTATTATAATGATATGGTCACAGTATTAGTCGTAATATTAGTCGTAACAAAATGTTTGTCTTTATCATTATCATAATTATTAGCATCCGAATAATTCGAGAATAACTTAATAGTAGGTATAAGCAGTTTGCTGACGTTTATAATAAAAATTTAATATCGCATTAAGACTAATCCCCTATTTTATTTTTCTACATTTATATATTTTGTACGTCCATTTAAATACCATGTCTTTGTGTGTATCGCCAAATAGCTCTTTTAATGTAATATGTTTGTGTTTTATGGTTATTTTATATGCTAGATAATTACTTCATATGCTGTTCCATTAATTTAAAAGTAAAATGTAGGTACATATTTCATTGTTTACAAATTGCTACTCTATTATCTTTTTTATTATAGTGACTGCTTTATTTGTAGCATTGAATATATTATAGACTTTTTAAAACAATACGTGGATTTATTTTGAGACCTTGCACTATTATTAAAAATATCAGCGTGATGTAACGTCACTTGAACAGAAATATAAAAGACATGTTTCTTAGTCCAGATGACATCACAATCATCTATTTGATTTTTCTAAACTATTCCATTATATTATTAATTAATCATTACTAGGTATAGCAGACATTATAACTTCTCTTTTCGTTATAGCATATGATGCTTTGCCTTTACATTAAAATGTTTTAAAAATTAAATAAGTACAATAAAAGATTACAGATACCTACATTACAAACATTTCTTGTGAATTGCTGATTCTTGTGTTCTGCTTTCCATACTAATTTACAAACAGAAAACATACTTGTTAGCAGTTGATTCCAATTATCGTTTTTATGACGTATTCGTCGTTAGTTTTGCTAAATATTTTGCCACCTGCGGACTGTCAAGAGTCCGCAGCTGTGCAAGGGAACGGCTAGAAAGCGACCTCACAACGTCAAAAAGTAAGGATCCACGGCAAAGGACTCGTCAGGCGCTTACTAATGTGCCACATCTTACCAGATATTAACGCTAATTGAAATAATCATAAAGATGTATTTACGGCGGGAATTTGCATTTTAATTAAAATTCGTATCGTGTAGTACCATCGCAATAAAAGTTGCGGCGATAAATGTTATTTATACCGGCGTATTTGTACAGAATGTATGTAAAACGTATTGCCTTCGCAGGAGAAAATTTAACGTACTCGGTAGAGTTATAGTCCTGGTTGGTGTATGAAATTTTACAAGTTTGCCCGTGAAAGTTACAAGTCAGTGGTGTGATTACTTTTTTATTTTTAAATTCGTAGAAAAAAGGCAGCATGTGCTTTATATTTTAGAAAATTGAACGTATTGGAAAGTAAATTTATTGTTATCAGAATATATAATTACTTCTTAACTCGCTTCTTAATATTCTGAAAATATCACGACGCCCCTGCCCTAGTAAATTGTTACAGTAGTTAGAACTTTATTGGCTTATTCTTTTCTCGGAATTCTATCTCAACAAATATTTATTTATTTATTTATTTATTTATTTATTTATTTATTTATTTACTGAGCATTAAATTATATTTAGGTATAATTTTGGGAAATGTAGACAGACAGTACCCAGCATTTGTAGAGATTTATAGAGTACAAATAAATCCAAAGTTGATACGTACTAGTCATGTTATTTTTTCCAATTTAAAAAATATTCAATCTGACTGATAATGATCTACGATTTTAATTATCAGAGAATAGTTACCCGCGGCGTCAGCAGAGGGCGTGTCGTTAAGCTTGATACTTCAGTATTTTTAATCAATTAAGTTATGCCTCAAGCAACACTTGATAAGTCAACTTAAGACTGTGGTATCTAGGTACTCCATTGTTGTTTCTGCCGCTAGTCTCTACCTAGTTCAACTAATTGTATTTGAATCTTGATTTTTTTTAATTAATTTAAAAAAAATACTCAATTACTTTGCCTATATTTCTTTGTTGTGTATAAAATTATGCTTCTCATGTCTAAATAAAGCACGGCCCTGAAATGTACGATTTACTGTCGGACCTTACAACAGAACACGCTTTATATTTTTAACATGACATTTTATTTGAATTTAAAAAAGAAACGAGGATGACAAGCTTGAACAGAGCTGTTATAATAAAAAATGCTATTTTTCGGGATGGAATAATTTTT